TGCAATTAAATAGAGCAGCATGTTGTGACGATCATTTTCCAGCAGCCAAATCAATTAACAATGCATCACAAGTCTATAAACCGTTTTAATAGCGAATCACCACACAAAGCCACTGAATATTCACAGCACCATACAAATATGTGATATGAAAGGCTTCTATTAAAAAGGAAGATTGCACTCCATGTGGTTAGTCATCAATAATACATTAGGATCCTGCAGTACTGATTGTTTAATGTGTTGGTATTTAGTAAATCATTCAAATTATTTGTCTCATAAATACAAATGTCAGGTTATAATGCGTTTGTTTGTGTCAGTGTAATTCTCTAAGTTGCGTGAGGTTTTGCTTGCTGCACCAACAAGTTGCCTTGACTGTTCTCCTCCATCTGTTGGTCCTCAGGGTGCTGCAGAGCGAGTACAGGCGGCTTAAGTGGAAACACGAAGAGGCGGCATCAGTTCCCATGCTGACTGAGGCTGGAGAAGGAGGTCTCGGTTCACCTACAGAAGGAGGGCAGCAGGACGAGGAGCTCTTGGCTGAAGCACGGGTCCTCCGGCAACACAAGACTCGCCTGGAGACCCGTATGCAGATCCTGGAGGACCACAACAAACAGCTCGAGTCCCAGCTGCGCCGGCTCAGGGAGCTACTGCTACAGGTCAGCGGTACACCTCTGAGGGAGACCTGGAAAGGAAACGAACAGTTCCTACAATGGATTTTATTTAAAAACAATACTTGTATGTTTTTATGTGTACTTCTAAGTCTACCAACTAGGTTTTACAGGCAAATACTTTAGGTTCAGATCTTTTAAAAAAAAAAAATTATATTAGACAAAGATTATCGCTGTAAATGTAAAATAATTTAGAAAAAAAGCTATTCAAACCTACCAGGCCACACATGAAAAACAAATTGCCCTCCCTCATTAAATCAAGAATTAATTGTGATTAACCACATTTTTGGAAAGCTGCGTTCAGTTGAACTATAGCCACGCCCAGGTCTCATTACTGACAGACCTGTTGAATCACAGAATCTGTCTAACAGACTGAAGTGAAGATCTTTGGGAACATATTCTGTGTGCTGATGAGACAAAAGCTGGATTTTGTGGAAGGCCTGGGAATTCTGTTCTCTACCAGAAAATCCCAACAGAGAATGTCCTGCCAGCTCAAGTTCAGTTGGGTTATGTAGCAGGATAATAATCAGAAACACACTAACAAGCCCACATCTGAATGGTTAAAAAAGAAAAATTGAAGGTTTTGGAGTGGATTTGTTATATTCCCAACTTAAATCAGACAGAGATGTTTGGCATGATCTTAAACAGGCCGTTCATGCTTGAAAACCCTCCAGCGTGTGTGAATTAAAACAAATCTGCAAAGACGACTGGTTTGCAGCGATGTGAAAGACTCATTGCCAGGTATCACCAACACTTGATTGCAGTTCTTGCTGCCAAGAGTGGCACAACCAGTTATTAGGTTTAGGGGACAATTAGGTAGGTTTGGATAGAGGACAAATATTTTGGCACAGCACTGTATAGATCTTGTAGATTTCTGTAGCTGCAGTTTAAAAAAAAAAAAAAAGGGGGGGGCACAGAGGGAAATTTAACCTCACCAGTTTTCAATATTTGTATTTGTAACTGAGCGAAGGTGATGTTTTTCCACAGTGTTTTTAAAGGAGGGAAACCTTCCTCCAAACGGACAGAGCAGCGAAACAACAAAGGGAAAGCACACGAATTAAAGACTGTATAATTAAAATATAATTTATTATATTTAAATAGTTAAAATATAAAATGAATTAAAACAACCCTGGCCTTTTAGGCAGCTTTCATTCATTAAAGGGGACGAGTCAAAAGATTTACCCCGGGTGGGCAGAGCTCTCAACTCTGCCGCCGTTTCTTTGTAACTGACAATCGGCACCAGCCCGTCCGCCGCCTCTTTAGTTTCCCGCAGACGCCTAATCTGGCCTCCTGTTGCTGCAGCAGTCGAACCGCTCGCTCCGCGCCGCTGTATCTTCCTCCCTCTAACGCCAAGCTCCACCAGTCTCACGTGTCACTGACCACTCTCTGTAAATTACCACTCGCTCCTTTCCTCTCAGGTGTGTCCAATTAGTAAAACGGGAAAAGGGCGGAGTCTCTCCAGGACAGATTGACAGATGCAACCAAAACATGCAGTATCAAAAATAAATAAACACACTTCACATTAGAACACAGCAAAGCAAAACAACATCCGTCCTTCCCTGGATGACATCTTCCTCACAGACAGCACAGACAGCAGACAGCAAAGTTCTTGAAATACACTTATAAAAGTACAAAAAGGCACACGGTGTTCATTTAAAAGAAGGAATGGGAGTACAAAGAAGTACAGTATGGAAGGAGTTAAGAAAGAGGATAAGCCTTAATACACTCTGGAGCGTCATATAAAAGGATTTACTGCGGTGTAAAGGAAAGGTGTGGCAAAGAGATAGGCGAGTGGGAGCTGACGCTCGCAGTTACTGGTTACTAGAATGGCAATGTGTAAATTGTTGTCAGTGGGAGTATCTAAACTGCACACTCAGGCCACAGAATAAAGAGAAAATGAAGGGAATAAATGACAGTAGGAGAAAGAACGGGAACAGCATCTGCATCTTCAGGTTAAAGTGAGCAAGAGGCACATATTCCCGGGTTAAAAACATAAAGGGAGGGGGAAAAGCTATTTGAATTCTTTTCTCTGTGGACCTATATCACAGTTTCATTTCCTCAGAAAATAAAATCTGTAGAATCTGCAGTCTGTAGTCTCCAGAAGTATATGTATGAATCCCTGCCAGTCTCTACAGAGACTCCTGTTTTGCAGCAGCTACTGAACTTACTCACCTCTGGAGTATTGCCACAGTGTTGCTAAAAACAATACGAACCATGGGAATGTTGCATATAAGATCTTCGAGAGTTACACTATCCCCCTTTGATTGTGAATTGAGGCATCCATTGTGGTGTCAGTCTGTTTTCTGCAATGCTTGTCTGTGCAGTGCAACTCCCTTTGGCTTTTATCGACCTATCAAAACACAAATCACAGTAACCTGATGAACAGCTGTTGGGCAAAATCGCCTTTTTCTGAGTTCTCATTTGAGGACTGCCAGCTGCCATTAAACATCACATTCATTGCTATCTGAAAGGCAAAATGACTCTGGTGTCTGAAATATGATAGATATGAGGGGTTATTTAGAAAGAATGGTAATAAGTCTCTCCCTAAAGCAGCCCAAAGATGATTCAGAGGCCAATGGATCAGAACCATCAACCCTGTCTTCTCCTGTGTCTGGAGGAGGACACCATGGGGAGCCAGCTAGCAGAGAGACTACAGACACTGAAGCAGCAGGTCAGTGACATGCAGCCAGGCTAAGATGAGGGCTTGACATATGCCTGCATGCTAAATGTAAAACCTTATCTTTTCACTGAGAAGTAACATTTTCTGTGGCGGCTTGAACCCGTGTGTGTGTGTTTGTGGCAGGAGATGATTTGGAGCATGAGCAGGACACGGTGCTGCAGCTCCAGGAGGTCATTGAGCAGCTGAGAAACGTCTTCCCTTCAGAACCTGGTGAGTTTGTTTCGGCTACATGGATCTATGCTGCTGTAGCACTCCACACTTCAGAGACAGCTTCTTTGCTCCCTCCATGGCCCCTGGGACCGTGAGAGATGGAGAGGAGAGCAAATATGTACTAGTGTGGATCGATAGAAGGGGAGGGGGTAGGGACGGAAAGATCGAATGGCAGAGAGGAGAAGTGAGGGGTGTGGGGACGGAGAGATTGAATGGCAGAGAGGAGAAGTAAGATAAGAGGGCGGCTGCAGCAGAGAAAGACAGAGCGTGTCACTGTCACACACTTCGCCACAGTGCCCCACTGCATTTAAAATGCAATTTGCTGGGCAATCCAAAGCCTGTAAGTTGAACAAAGAAAGGGATTATAATAATTATAGCCTTCTTAGTTATAACCAAGAACATCTCCTTGGTCCTTTGCATGTGCTCCTAAACTTGTTAACCCTTTTCTTTTCTTTAAATTCTCTTTTATATCCTAATTTCAGGCACCACATCACACATCTAACCCCGAGTGTGCCTGGAGGAGCAGAAAGAACGCCTGACGGCAGAGGGAGGAGCTCTATACAGCTGAGGTCGGGCCACAGTAAACCAGGCCATGTGACCACTGCAGCGGCAATGATACTTAGAGCTAACCCTCCACTGGAATTTTGTGCACTAAAAGCCTTTTTCACGCAAACTGCTAAAGGCTCACGCTGATGTCCTTTTGGCCAGGCTGCGCTTCATAGCTTCAGCGGCGCAGCCTGACACCATGTTAACGAGCCAAAGGAAACTAATGTTAGCAGCAGGTCAGGGAGAGACTAAAGTGATGGAAAATGCCCAGCCAAGACACTGTGATTACCAGTATTTGTGTAGTCATTGAGAGGTGGGAAGCTTTACATCAGTCTGCAGCACAAATTGGACCTTCCGTGAAAAGAACCTCAAAAAAATGCAAAAAGGGAAAAGGAAGGAAATCCATTGTTTCTATCAAAATGCCTGTATCTTCAGTGTGTTTCCCTCCCCCCTCCTGAATGTGTTGTCATGGTTGTTATTTTTGTATTTTGAAACAAGGAGGTGAGCTAAAGCTTAACCGTGTAAGCTAGATCAGGGCTGGGCTGACTACATTTTATGTGGCTGCGTGGTGCAGACTGTCAAGGAGTTGACAGCACCCACAACGGGCTTATTTACTTTTTCAGAACGACACATTATCAGTTAAATCCATGACTTATTTGAGACAGCCAAAGTGCCCGCTAGCACAGCGCCTCTGTATGCACACACTGTTCCTCTAATCCTGTCTCACTGCTTGTCGCGCTCATTGCTCGCCTCTCCTAAGCGAGCCCTTTACACCCATAAGGCACTAACTGCACTCAGTGTATGTGCGCACACGTATGCTGCTACACCCTATTTGCAATACCCCCCACGCATCCACACACATTATGCACAAATAACCAAACGGCTCCCTGCATGATCGATAACATGTGCTGTGATGTATCGCCAGAAATACACCATAGGCCAATTTCATAAAAACAGAGATCTATTTCATCTCGAAGGATATAAACAAGTTCTCGGTGGTAAGCCAATTTGTTTTGCGAATGGAACTGTGTTTTGTTTAGGAAATGTTTGCTGATAAATATCAGCATGCATGCCACTGCTCTGAGATCTTAGAGTTCTCCTGCTTTGTGCAGACAGAAGGAAGGAGCTCCTAAAAGTTAAAGCTCCCCCACCCCTCGATATGCTAATTCCAAAAACTACAGGGGGGGTATAAGGCACACCAAGATAACCCAGTCCCACACCAGCTCCATTCTTAATAATCCCTTAATTCCATGCAGATTTAAAAAGAACAGTAGCTACTGACTCTGCATGTGTCATTTCCCCTCATGTTAATTGCTTTTAGATTTACAAAAGGACGTGTCGTTGATATGGTTTCACCCTCATCGTATCAAGCTCGTGGGGTGCATTTTGTTCTAAACATAGCACAGTCAATTAATGCCTTAAAACCGAGCTGAATCCATAAAAGACAAGAGTTAGCCTTTCCCCACGCTTTCTTTCTTTTTTCATTATGCTTTAAATTCAGGGAAGGAGGTTGCGTCAGGCGCGTGTTTGTGCACTAGTGTCTGTCAGACCTGTGGTTGATTGGAAGTGACAGCTGGAATGAAAAAGTGTGGATCATAGGGTGAAACTGGTTAAATAAGGCTTGTATGAGTGAACCCATGGTGCCGGGTATGCTTGGAGGGAGTAAAGATCTAAGAGACAAGAGAGGAAAGGCATAAAAAAAACAATCCATTTATTGCTTGAGGGCTGGTGGGAGAGATCCACTTTGATGTGCCTGCCACAGCAAAATCTCCAGAAGCAGGACTAAAGTTTGCCTGAAACAATGAAGCTGTGGTTCTGCGTGTTTCTCCGTACTCAAACCCATTCTCATAGAAAAGATAGTCACATATACATTGAGGAATCCATGCAAAACTTTAAAAATATCATTCTGACCCCACATGCATGAGTTTAAAACCCATGTGCTGCATTCATTATGGGATCTTCCTCCAGGCGCATAGCGCTCACATTTGACACCATCCTCCTCAGCACTCGTTGCCTGTTAGTTTTGATACCGTTGCTAGGGAACTGCCCCCAAGGACGAAGCTCCACAGGTTTGCAAGTCGGAAAGGTGATGTGCCATTCATAATACAAATGCTAATAGCCTTAAGGGAAGCAAGAGAGGCCCTTGGTTCCCAAACACAGCTCTCCTTTTCTTCACTTCCACCTCCACTGAAACCTGCCACTGTTAAGCTGCTGAAGACAGTCATTACTATTTGTTGAATCCGTCTCCACATCAGCACTGCTTGAGAATTTGTTTCGTTAAAGCTCTCGCAACTCAGAACAAAGAGCAGCTGCACAGCTCGTGGGAGAAAGAAAAAAAGCCATGACAAGCAATGTTTATTCATAGACATTTATCTGTTGGTATTTACACATCTCATTACACAGTGATGATTATCCAAAGCTTTCAGTTGCTCCATACGTTTCTATGTGAGTACACAAGATGACGGCGCAGTGACAGGTGGTGAAAAAGAAAGGGAGACATCCCCCCCAGTAGGACTGCGCATCAACAGTTGTCATGTTTATTTGAACACCATATAGCGGCGAAAGAATGACACAAACATGTACGCACATAGACTAGGTAGTTCTACTACAGGGTTACATTGCGATTCACAGTTTGTCCCGACATTTCACTCTGCTGCTGCTCGACACCGCCATCCAAATAAATGATGATGCGTGACTGTGTGATCATCTGAGGTCTCATCCGTGTGCACATTTCTTTACTCCTTGTGGCTTCCTGTTTTGCCCCGCACACACTAACACACACTGCTCCCCGTGGCATGACTGAAGCCGAGTGAAAAAAGGTTCTCTACATAAGCCGGAGTCACCCCCAGAGGACGCCGCTATCACTGTTCAGACTTCTGTTACCGCATGTAGCTCGCCAACATGCTCCACGGGCCCTGTCATTAATCTGCCGCCTCAGTGTCAGACCCTCCCTCCTGTGTTTACCAGCACGCATCTAAATATGTAACAAGGACACATGCGCTTGTATCTCACGCAACATATATACGTTTGTTACTCTAACACACTCGTTTTTTTTCTGACGAAATGAGGTTTCTTCTCTTCTTTGTGTGTTCTTTTAAATCACCATTAATATACCTCATTAATCATGATGTTTGACTTCTTTAACACTTTTGATTTCCTGTTTTATTGTCCAGAACTCAAAACACTTCTTTTCGTCTTTTCTCTGGAGTTTTTAATCTGTATAAAAAACAAAGGGTTTCTGAAGAAAGGCTTTTTACTGTAATAACAAATGGGTTACTGGCTGCTTTCTACTCTTTGTGTACAGAAATAAAAGTTTGTATTTGGCAAACTCCTCGTCTGCTCGTGTTATTGTTTTTTTTTTGTTTATTTCATGTGACTGCAGTTATCCCTTTGAGATTTGAATAATGAAAGTTAACTCAGAATGGTGCCAAATACAGGCTGTTTTATATTAATTTTTCTTTCTGTGGTTATATTTGGATTTGTGTATGTCCCATTGTGAGGCTTGTGTGCTTTTTTCTTACTCTGTTATGCAGTCTGCCCTCGACTTCTACCTTAAACCTTTGCTTCAGCGCAGAAAAAAAGGGCTCATTGGTCTATTCTGATGCAGTGCCACCCTTTTCTGTTTTAGCCCTGTTGGCTTTGTTCCCTGAGTTTGTTCTCTTTGGCTGTGGTGCAGCACTTGATTGACACTTTACCTTCTTTCTCGCCTTATCGCGCACTGATCTCTTGCTCGCTGCATTATCTTTGCCGGAGCTGGTGGGCGCAGGATCTCTATCTTTATCTATTGCTTGATTATCTGGTACACCCAGCCCAGCTTCATGAACCACGGCCTTCTCTGTACTTTCATTATCTAACCCCTCTCCACTCGCTCTCCCACGCTCTGGCTCTTTATTACCCTGCTCTGCTTTCACATCTGGATTTTTCCCTGTTTCTGCAACATCCACCCCGTCTGTCTCGACAGGGGTGCATTTCTCTGAGCTTTCCATCTCCTGGCTCTTAGTGTCTTCAGTCTTCTTATCTGCATTAATATCTGCTTTAGCTTTACCTTCTGTGGCTTTTGGAGGAAATTTGACGTTCTTCTTTCTGGCTGCACTCGTGGCCTTGGTCCCACCAGGCCCCCACTTCTCCTGCGTTGTATCCCAGTAAGTCTTGTTCTGACTGGCATGTATCGAACGCATGCTCTGGCCCAGATTCCTCAGCTCCTGCCGCACAAAGGGTTTAAACTTCTGGTCCAGTTTCTCCACCGTATCAAAGTCTCTTCGAGCTTCATCCTCATTGCACAAAGCAGCATGAGCCCGAGCCCTCTGGTACACTGCCTTGAAATTACCTATTGAGAAAAGAGAGCGAATAAGTATAAATGGCAACACTATTGACTCGTAAAGACCACAAGAGGCAACAGGAGGTAAGAATGATTGGTAGGCCGGCAAGAGTAAAACTGGAAAGCCGTAAAAGTTGAAGATAAAAATAAATACCACAGGCGTTAACTACACTGAATGCCAGCGGTGAGACAGGAGATATAGTAGGAAGCGAACGCACGAGAGGGGTAAATGAACGGGAAAGAAAAGCATAAAAACAACCTTTTCAGATCGCCCTAACTATTAATAATTCATCATAGCACAAACAAAAAGAAAACAATGAATTCATTTTTGACTGTGATGTCCATGGGTGGGAGCTGAGGGAACAAAAGACAGACACAGCATTGCGGTTGTGAATGTTTGGTTTCTTCTTTCCCTGGTAAACACACAGATCAAGGCTTGTTGCACTGTCAAGGCGAGTGTTTGCTGAGGGCTGGCAGGAGAAATTTTTTAGCTTAAAAATGATAGCTTTTTGGGGTTGTTTTGTTTCTGTACGCACTAAACCGGGGTATATTTATATACTCAAGTATCTATTTCTATAAACTCAATTTTCACTCTAATATTACCTTTGTGTTTCTTCAGCAGCTTGGTGTTGAGCTCCACAACTTGCTGGTATTGTTTTAGCTCCAGCATGCACTGGCTGAAATTCAGAGTCAAAGGAAGACGCACGTTCTCCAGCGAATCCCAGTCCTCGCCCTGTTGATCCACCTGCAGAGGAAAGAGAGTGGACATGAAAGTCGGGTAGGTGGGAGGGTGAGGGCAAAGGAGGTGGTGGTGATAGATGGCGAGAGAAATGTTGAAAAGATGAAACAAAGGCAGGGGCAAATATATAAAGCGTTGGGAGGCACGATGAAAAAGCTCGGATGTGGAAAATGATACCGGGAGGTGGCAGAGGAATTTAGAACGAGGAGAAATAAAGATGGAAGTGGGTGGAACGAGGACAGCGGGGAGTCTGTTGTGCGTGAAAGGCGTGAGGGAGTTAGACACTGAGGTGTGGCAGAAAGGAGAGTTTAGGAAAGAGAAAAGAAGAAGAGGCAAGCGGTGTGACAGTGATATCTCTGTGGATAGCTGTTATTTTCAGAGCACTTTCTCTGCTCTTCACTTCGCCAGCGTACCTACAATGCCACAGCTGCTCTTCAGTAAAAAAGCAACAATGACAGATGATTACAGTTTACAAGCCGCAGTGAGTCGTGGTCCTTTAGCAAGACTACTAACTGGCATGTTCGAATATTCCTCACGCTGAGTGGATTGAACCGGCGGCTGTTAATGTGGTATGTCCATCTGGGTACTGTCGTCGCAACAAAAAGCTCTATTTTACATTCAATTGTAAAAAGACAACACAATTACTTGAACGCTTTTACAAACCCTCACTTAATCACCAATTACTTACTTTATTTTGAAGGCAGTCCACATATTCTAGAGCCTCCTTGAACTTTCCCGAAGCTTCTTGAAAGCGGTTCTCTTTAATGAGGAAATTTCCCTCATTCTGCAGCAACATGACCAGTCGTAACATCTGCTGCCAGTCCTTGCCTTCTGTTTGATCGCAAGTGTTTAAATTCCCTGCAGAAGAGCTCGCTTCTTCTTTGGTAACTGTTCCCTCAGTCAGTGCAACTTTATTTTCCCCGAGGTTATCTTCGTGAACTTCTGCATATTTAGGGGGAGATTCTTCGGAACCATCTCCCACTTTATCGTTTGCCTCTGTTGTCGCACTTTCAGGATGTTCTTGTTTTCCCTCTTCTATCTCTCCTGTCTGCTTCTTCTCCTCCTCCTCATTCCTCTCTGCCTCCCCCACTTCATTTGCGTTTTCATTTTTCTCTAGCTTTTTCCAGTATTGCTCCTTCTCCTCCCAATATTTCTCCTTCATGCGCTCCGACAGGGCCTTCAGCTCTCGATGGATGAGGGACGCCAAAGTGATGTCGAGTTGAGCCACCATGTTGAAGTCTCTCCGGGCCTCCTTTTCATTCCACACAGCAGCGTGGGCTTTGGCTCTTTTGTAGTAGCCTTTGACACAGTCTAAGAAACAGAAAAGGCAAGAAACAACAACACAGTGAAATAATAACTGCAAAAAAACGTAAATCAATCTGATATGCACGTTGAAGCACAGGTGGTTATTTATAAGCATAAATCTGCAAAACTCTAATAAACCCTAAAATAAAATAAAAAAATAAGCAGTACATGCTTATTTGCTTTCCAGAGTTGAATAAGATATAATGCAACTAATGAAAAGCTGAAGCTACATCTAGTGGGTTAGCTGAGCTTCATAAAAAGACTAGAAACATAGAAAAACAGCAAGCTTGGCTCTGCCCCATCCACTTCTACAGCTCACTAACAACCCCATTGTGTATTTGTGAGGGAAAAAGACTAAAAAATGTAGTTTTATCAAATCAAACAACCAAAATACAGCTTGTTAATTAGGTAGCTTTAGAAATGACTGTTGAGTGACCTTTGAATCGAGTCAGGCTAAGTGTTTCTCCCTTATTAGAGTGTTTGTGCTAAACTAGCTGGCTGTACATTATATTTAAAGAACCTCGTCTATGAAAATCCTATTTTTGAAAGTCAGTGTGGCTTCCCCAGAACTGCAGTGTTCCAATGACAAAC